AATATACACTGTTGAGATAAATTGAGTTGATTTGAAAATAAGTATAATATAGTGCTTGTAGTTTTCGAGCGATATTATCTCCCTTATATACGTTTTCGATTGCGAGAGGGTGGATGACAAAGTTCATCATGTACAAAAACACAGATGTTTACGATGAATAATATATGTCTATTCAGTATATTTTTAGCTATAGAGATACAATATAAGAAAAGGTTTTACGTCTTATAAAAGGCACTGAAATAGATACGACATGCATTCACCGACTGATGCGCACACGTCATCATTATGGTTAAAAAAAGCCATACGAACGTCATCATAGCGATACGAACAAATCTTGTTTTGCGTGTTGTAATTATTGTACATATGTATAAATGTCATAATTGAAAAAATCATTCGTACGTCATTGTAATACGTAAAATAAATAAAGATTTATACGCAGTAACTATTACGTATCAATATAACAATTCTTCTTGAAAATCCGTAATAAAAAGTTGAAAGAGTCTTCCGAATACTTTCGAAATAATTCTTGCATAAACGTAGTTTGATTCAAAACAAGAATCAAAAATTTTCATCGATGTTTAGTTCAAGTGATGAGGATCAAAATATATTTTAGATCGTATCTATGGATTATACTTCTTTTATTTTCCTAATATTACGCTTTCATTATATTCTATTATCATAAAAATGCGTAAATCTAAACAAGTGAAATTGATCGTAATTTTAACTTTGAAAATTTCTCACTTATTCAATTCCGGAGAATAAAATCAAAGAATTATATTATTATTAAATCTGCATGTCAATTAACGAAATAGTAGTTATTTTTGCTCCATCAAAATTCCTCCTGTGTTTGATTAATTCATTTTTATTTTATTTTATAATGTAGAAAAATCCAATTTTATAAATGAGGTAAACAGCTGTGCTGCGTCATTATTATTTTTATGTAATACCTATAACACGTGTGTACATATATTAGTACGGTTGAATAAGGTAAGAGAAAGAAAAACAAGTGGGAATGGTTCTTTTTATATTTTACCATGCGTGTCAATATGAATTATGTATCTTTATAAGAGGTAATGAATTATAGTTTAGCACAAAAAAAGATGGACAAAACAGTTTTACGAATATTAAATTTTACAATCAATAAAAAGAATATGATCATGAATTGTTGTTTAATAAATATAATTTATAGACTATAATGTAATTATTTATTTAAATAAATTTTTAATTAAAATCGAATAAATTATATTTTTTATCGATCAGATTTGATATTAAAACATGAAATCATTATCGAATTCAATTAGATTGTTGTCATTGAAATAAAATAATAATTAATACATGCGATAGACTAATCAGAAGATTATATGAGTAAAATATCTTCAATAAATTTCTTTTTATTGCAAGTGAAAATAAATAATGCGGAACTGATTGTTATATTCAATTAGAATTCATCGGAAGCATTTATTATTATCATGAAGTAAAATAAGACCATATAATCAAATAAAAAAAAGAGTATCAGCATCTTTGATAATAAGAGTTCGATTTGAAGAGGACGAGAAAATAAGAATATATACATAATACACCGTCAATGTATTCTGAGAAGATACGTTGATTTCATTCTTTCCAATAAATTTAATTTCTTTTTAGTATTTCTCTTCTATACAAATTTTTCATGTTATATTGCTACAGATATTAAAACAGAATTTTTTTCATTTACGTGAAATCAATAGATCTAGATAAAAACTGAATTGTTGAAATATGAATATGAGATGAACGAATTACTTTTATCATTCATATTGTCTTACAATGGGTTTACAAGTTGATAGAAAAACAAAAGACTTTCGTGAAGAAAAAATGGGTACTGGTGACATAGCAGGGACGAGACTTATTTTGAGGATATTGTTGAAAAACCAAATAGAAAACTATTTAAAACAGGAACAATCGACAATTTTTCTAAATGTTCAGGTTGTATGAGACATATATATGTCGGTAAATCAAATTAACTAATGCTTAATCAAAAGCAATATCTTCGGAAGTGATAGTTTTTTATGGCATAAAATAAATCTAAATATTAAATTCCGATGATTCACAATCACAAGGGTGTATATACTTTTTTTTCCAACAAACATACATTAGTCATAAAAATAAAAATTTTAATGACTCATGTTACGTAAGCAATATAGATGCATTATCACAAAAATATCTTTATCTTGTGTTTTATACCAAAAAAGTGATCACTCATTCGTATGAAACATGACAAAATTATTTTTCTCGTGAAATTTAATTGGAAAAAACCAACTTAATGTAAGTCAATAAATACTCCTCACAAAACTTATTGATTTTAGACGAGGAAACGAAAATGAAAACATCTTGTACTGATCGTCCAAATCAATCGACTTATTCATCCCTAGGTTGTACTAGTTGTTTAATATTTTCGATATTGATACTATGTCTCATATGGAGTTTAATCCTTAGTCGATCTTATATTAATCATCAAAATATACAAAAGAATTATAGGCAGACAACGTGCCTAATATTGAATTCTACAATACTTAAACATGAATGTGCATTTTGTGCTAATCAATTCTGTACCTCAAGCACGTGTTTCAATGTGCAATTATTAGTAACATATCCTATTTCAAATAAAACATATATAAAAAGTGTTTTTAAAAGTTTGGATAGAGATAAAATAAATCAAGAAATAAAGGTATAAATAATTATTTGTTTATAATAAAAATATAATTTTGTCTGTTTTTTTCTTAAATATTTAGATTGGGTATAATTACACATGTTTTTATCATTCAATAAATGTTACTTCAGTAATTATGGAATTTCCAGATATAAAAATAAAATTTAATCAATTACACATTGCTTCTGTTCTATTGATTTTGTTTACTGTTGCAAGTTTATTATGTATTGTAGCACAGAAAACAAATTGTTGTAAATCATGTTTTTCAATATTTATGAATAGAAATTCTACTCAAATGCAAACAATGGAAGAAAATGAGCAACCAATGGTTGGTGTTGGCTTGAATCAAACTGTATAGTTGAATTGAATGATGGTTTATTTTTATATATTAATTTTTAATAAATTATATCTATAGTCCGGAATACAATAAGCAATTTTTTTCTATTCTCGTTTCATGAGTGTCGTTATGGTTAAGGGTTGTGAGAAAAGACATCCACCCTCAAACAATTCAACGTTTTGCTTGTTTTTACAGCATCAAAAAAGGAATCGAAATGAGTTGGTAAAGTGATTTCGTATGCATAACTCTATTAGTAGCAGAGATTTGGTTGCGGTAGAGTTGTTTAGGATGTGACTGCGCACGCTGTCTATATATCAAACCACACCCACACCCATCCACATCCACTCACTCACACCTACCCACCCTCTGTGGTAGATACCTACTGAAAACTATTTTTCTCCAACTTAATAAAGCCCTCAAGGTTGATCAAACTTCAATACAAACATTATAATTCACTGAAATATTATGAGCAGATTTTTTTTCTTTCCAAGATTTGTCCACCTATGAGTATCGTCATAACAAAACAATCTGAAGAGTATTAAAAACAGCATGCATTATGTACATAAACTGATGCTGCGTACTTTTATTTCTGTTCGCGGAATAATCAGTAGCGTCGGAAGAAAAATAAGTGTACCGAGTGAAATACGATGCATCATACTGAAGCTTCCAAAAGAAGTTGAAACTTTCGAGAAAAAAAATATATTTGAGCTTTTAATAGAATAGCGGATAAGTGTTCATGTGAATGGAAGGGGTGGGTAAGTGTAGGAAAGCAATCAATACCCACACCCGCACTAACACCCTCACCCAGACCCGTATTTTTTAATCGATAACCCCCTTCACATATTATATCATTCGCTGTAGAAACAAATTATGCATTCAACACAGCACAGGTTCAACAGCGAATGTGAACAAGGAAAATCGAATCCACTGCTGACTTTCATCACGTATTTTTATTAATACTATTGACTGTTACGAATGAGAGTGGTAGAGATGACTACGGTCTATCGTGAGTCAAACACACCAATTCGGTTTCATTAGAATGAGTGTTCAAAAACCGTCAGTCATGCCTATTTCTATTGGATTTGTCGATGTATGCAGACATCTATGAGATATTGTATGAAAATGGTATCCTTGCTCGCACCTTCAATCCATAGAATGATCACTGTTTGTATTAGATGTCTACTAAAAACTGCTTTTCTCCAACTTAATGCAACTCTCAAGGTCGATGAAACTTCAAAATAAACGCTTTATTCCGCTGAAATATTGTGCAAAGGTTTTTTTTTTCTTTCCAAGATTTGTCCACCTATGAGTACCGTCATAACAAAACAATCTGAAGAGTATTAAAAACAGCATACATTATGTAAATAAACTGATGTTGCTTACTCTTGCTTCTGTTCGGGGAATAATCAGTAGCGTCGGAAGAAAAGTAAGTGTAGTGAGTGAAATGCGACGCATTCGAATATAGCTCCCAAAAGAAGTTGCAACTCTCAAAAAAAAGTTTGTCTTTTGATAGAATAGCAGATAAGTGTTCATGTGAATGGAAGATATAAATGTTATGATCATCACTCATTCACATAGATACCAGCATATAAATGCTTCCAGATTTGGAGAATAATGAATCTAAAGAATGTTTTCTTTTTGTATTTAGTTTAGAAGAAAGCGGGTTCATACAACACCACAAAGCAGTAAAACATCAACATGTAAGTAAACTTAATCACATAACTATATTATATATTTTGTCAATTTTTAAAATAGGTCCGGACCAGTAAGATCAGAACCAGCTAACACTTACCATTTTGAAAATACATTTGCTCCGTTAAGTGGTGAGCGTGTAATCAAATTATATGAGTGTAACGAAGGATGTTCAAGTTGTTGTGGACCAAAAACAAAAATTGCACTTACTGATCGTCGAATTAT